CAACTTCTCAAAAGCATTGAAAAAGTGGAATATGTGAGAGTGTGACAATGATATATGCTCTGAAATCACATATAAAATCATGCTATGGCATGCAAATACCTCAAGCAAAGCATGCTTAAAGACCTTGAAACTCAAAGCTAGTCAAGAGCATTTACACTATAGCTATGTAAAGCAAGCCTCGTATGATCAAGACCATCCAAATCAGAGTTAAAGCATGCTAAAACATGAGCAAAAATGTGCTGGAGCCAAGCTAACATATGCTAGAATGATGGACTAATTCATTGGACATGTTAAGCTAGTAAGCAAAATGGCACTACAAGTGCAAGATACCAACAACCAGTGACTAAACCAGCCTAAAATAGAGTCATAGAAGGTCCAAAAAGTCACAAAAATGTGCTTTAACAAAGCCACAAAGAAGTAGAAACACATGCTCATTTGGTAAGCCAATAAGACATGCAAGCAAGACAAGAGGAGAGAGGACCACCCCCTCCTATTTGGGACCTCAAAATCACCTTTCCACCACTGAAATTCCTCTAGAATTCAGTGGTTAAAGGGCCAAAAAGAGATGGTTTGAAAGCCTTGAAAGATGGTACAAAAAGCTATACAAGCTAAGGAACAAAAGAGAGAGACAACCCCCTAACACAAAATAGGCCTAAACCACCATTTTTAGGACTGAGAAATAGAGATTTTCTCAGTTCAAAACCACCCCAAAAATAGTGTAGAAAGATGGCAAAACAATAGTGTACAAAGAGCTTAAACGGGATAAGAGGTTACCTTTGAAGCACAGCACAAGAACAGCCCCGTTCTTGAGCGAAAACCAACCTTTAGCAGCCCAAAATAGGTTCCAAGGGATCTCATCCCAATGGTTGTCAAGTTTGATCAAGGATGTGTGTGCAAAAGAGAAGTGTATCTACATTTGCAAGCTCTTATGCACAAAGGTTCTTGAGAGGGAGAAATGTAGAGAGAGAGGTGTAGAGAGAGAAGCTCCCAAAACTCTTCCAAAATGTTCTAACCCTTGAATATGAGATACAAGGCTTCAATATATAGCAAAATACAAGCTTTTGGCCGAAAATATCTCAAGAGAGACAGCTGTAACCAGCTGGAGCAAAATATCTACCAAAAACTGCTTTTTGCCATCAATGGCCGGCACATGACCATTGATGGCCAGCACTTGTCCATTGTTGGCCGGCATGGGACACCATTGGATGGTAGGGGGCCGGCCTAGGCCATTCATGGCCGGCACATGGCCAAAAAATCCCATTTAGGGCCAGTATCTTCCACCTTTGGTTGGACAAAAAAATCTGCTTTTTGGGCCCGACTTCAACCAGACATATCTCTTTCATCTGGACACCTTTGCAGGTCATTATTGAGCATAAATTGAAGCCCTATAAGTCATATTTCTAATGGTGGCAGCCTCACTTCCAAATTCCAAGTGTGAAAAAAGTTATGCCGGTTTGAGTGAAGACTGCTCTGTTTCGATCCTACCGGGATTCATGCCGAACTTCTTCTCCAACTTGTTTTCTTCTCTCTTCTTCTCTTTCCTTCAACTCCAAACCCCTAAACAACGTGTTTTGAAAGATTTTTCAAAAGATTTCATCTCTCCTTCATTCATTTCCACTTTGTCCTCGCTCGGTTTACCGAAAAGTGCAACATTTAACGAAATGCGAGTCTCAGAACATCGTAGGAGCTTTTTCAAAGATATTTTTAAAGAGAGGGTTTTAAGGTCTCAAAATATTTTTATCAAGATCATTTTGGTCCAAAAAGGGGGATGAAGTTGGGATTTGACTCTCTCCTTGCCGAAGAAATTGAACCCTTGCACTGCACAACTTTCACCACCAAGTAAACCATCAGTAGTACCCAAGTCTTAGGGGCAGTCAAAAATGGGTTGTCTACATTCTGCCTCTAGGTCCACTAGCACCCTTCTCTTTGACATTGATCCTCCCTCTATGAAGATGGCGGTAGGAGAAGGGGTCCTCTCAGCGGATAAACTTTGGCCGTGGCGACGGTTGGTGATTAAAGGGGCAATGAGTGTATTTGTCTCAGTATCAGAATCAACTAGGGATGCAGCAAGCCTGGTCTTCTTGGAAATGGTAGTATGGTAAGTAGCCTGGTAGTCTAGCAGCTCGGGGCAGACCTCCTTTTGTACCTCAAAACGGCCTTGATTGCTTCGGTGTTCTCACAGGTCGGCCTATGTTGGTAATGGGAAGACTTTGCAAAAGTAGGAAACAACATCAGCACAACACTCAAAACAGAATAGCAAACCGAAAGCAGGAGTACAAAAATTCCAAGGTAAAGGGTTCAGACCTGGGTAGCCATCTTTTGGGGGCATTCTTTCAGACTAGATCTCAATCCCAGTAGGAAACTCCCAGTTCTTGCCAACTTAGAGGAAGTCGTCATTGTGCTTATCAGAGTCAAGTAGGCTAGTGACTAGATGACAGTCAGCAGAATGAACGTGAAGGTAATAGGTACGATGGTCTTTGTTATGAGAAAAGGTATAACAACCAAGGATGTCCCAGATGTCCAAATTCGGGTCTAATCGCTTATTCAGAGCAGAGACACCGCAAACGACTCAGAATAGGTTTACAGATACTTGTATTGGGGTAAGTTGGACTTGGTGCAGAAAGCGACAGACTAATGAGTCCAGAGGGAACCGAACCCCCCTTCGCCAATAGCAGCAACAGGGAACGCATCAATGTTTCTTGTACCCATGCGCTTAGCATCAACCTTAGCCAGCGTGAGGGTAACATCATTAGGGACACCGTAGTCACGACGGAATAGGGTGATCGCCTCAGGAGTATCCATTAATGCACGAAACTTGCCCATTATCTAGACCTAGAAAGGCAAGGACAAAACCAAACTAAGTAAGAGACAGAAGAAAAACACTAATCACCGGAAACGATGGCACAAGCACCAACAATGGTGATAGGAATAGAAAAAGCAAGAGAAAAGAAGGGCTTCTGGAGGACTTATAGTGATTTGACGAAGAAGCAGTGTAGAACGAAGGTCTTTGAAATGAAATAAGAATGGCAGCGTTCAGAACCCATAATAATGGTAGTGAGCGTCTGGGAGGAGCACTATCAGAACCAAGAAGAGAGAATAAAAATGTTTTTTGGATGTTGAAAATTTAGGGACGGACGAAGAGGTTGAATTGACAGCCATGGTGTATTTATTACCCTTGACTGGCGTGATTGTATAGAATCACGTCCCTCTTTATAAAATCGATACACTATCTCTACACGCTAGTGTCATGCTGCCATGTGTCGTTTTGAAAGGACACATGCAGATCGCGTGTGTCAGGGCTGAACCACCACCAAGATCGAGCTAGAGTAGATTCGAAACAATGCAACGGTTGGAGTAACGAACATTAGCTCCCCCCAAGGGAAACCTTAGCGCGAGCTAGGCAGCAAATGAAGGGACAGAATATGAAACGGGTTAGATCCAAGCCTTGGACCGGTCCAATTGGTTAAGCCCAAACCCAAGTGGATCAGACGAATGTGTGGGCCAGTTAGTTATACCTATCTTCATGAACAAGGGCCTTTCAAAGTCTTCAAGCACTTGGGTCTAACTTGCAGTGAAAAGACCAGTTCAGCCACGATGTTGGGCTGGGCTGAGCTATCGAACTCAATCCGTGGACCGAACTGATGGGCCGAAACCATCATCAAAACCAAAGTGGGTCGAGCCTACACAAAGATATCTAAATGGGTCAGCCCATCTCTACAAGCGGCCTTACAAAAGGCCGAGCCAAGGCACAACGATACGGAGTTGGGGAAACCTCTCAAAGAAACATGGAAGTTATGAACATATGCACATGAAGGCTGTGACCTCAGCTGGTCCCTACCCCCTAGAATACAGAAACAATTAATCAAGGGAATGCGATCTGTTATAAGGATGATTACAAAGAGCACATGCCTCCATTGTCAACTACTTGGAGGTCCCCCACTTTGGGCAATGTTACAGGGAGCCTTGAAGCACCAAAGCTCTATAAAACCATCCTGGGCAACAAGCAAAGTGTTCGATATAAACTTCACTCTTTTCACATTGAAGGTAACTCAACTTAACTCAATCAAGCTTAACTGAACTCTACTCACTTCAATACAACAAAATTCACTTTACACCTAGAGAACCTCTAGTCTTCTCCAACCACTTACTCCCACACCGGAGGGGTTTTTCTGGCCAACCCTGACCGGGCAGCTCTAAGGGTGTTTTGTGCTTGTAGGTCCTTAGTTCTTGGATAGTCCATTCAGTCACGGAGCTCTGATCCACTTTCATCTAGTGCGGGATTCGATTCACCACTAAGCATTGATCTCTTAATCTTTTAATTAGATTTATATATGAATAATTAATTGAGCTAGTCTAATTAATTATGTTAAATATATATTGTTAGCAGGGATGGAATGACAAAGAGAATACCAGGGGCCACACACTTATGTCCAATTCAAAAAACCTTACTAATATATAGCACTTTCAATCTAGTATACAATTCTTTATTAAAGATGGCCCCCAGCACTACTAAAAAAGTGACATTTTGCGTCTAGTTTTTTGCGACCCACAATTTTGCCGTCGCAAAAAGAAAACATTTTTGGAAATGATATGTGCCAAAAGGCATATTTTACCCCTATTTTTTATTCCTTTCACTAACCCCAATTTATTTTTCCCTTTTGTTACACTCACCTATGCCCTAAGCCCTTTCACTGTCATTTTCACGACATTGATAAACAGAGAGGTCTCTCGCCCTCTCTGTCTCTCTCGCTCTCTTTGCTCGCCATGGTCGTAACTCTAGTGGTATGAATCTCTCTCTCTCTCTATCTCCTTTCTCTCTCTATATATACATACATATTTGTATATTTATATATGTATATATATTGTGGATTGCAGGTAGAGTTCTTCATATGCTTGGTATTGACGATCTTAGGTTACATTCCTGGAATAGTTTACGCTCTCTATGCGATGCTCTGTGTCGATCGTGATATGACTCGCGCCAATTATCGTCCACTCGCCTAGTCTGTGTGTGTGTGTGTGTGTGTGTGGAAATCTGTGTGTGTTTAGCTGTAATCTCATGGTATTATACTCTAGCCCTATGTGTGAAATCAATTTGAATGAGTTTAAACTCTTGCTATTTGATTGAATCGCTTTGATTTAATTCTATTCTTCTCTTATTTATTTCTATTTCAAATACCTGTGTATAGATTTTGGAGTGATTTGAACTCATGATTGATCTAACTCTCTCTCAGCTACGAAGCTTTGGTTCGAATCAATCCTTTTGCTATATTTTTATATGTGTATATATATATATGTGTGTGTGTGTGTGTGCGTGTGTTCATTCATTGCTGAGTAACTTTGATTTATACCGAGATTTACATATTTTTCTGATCTGCTTTTAATTTTCATCTATATATCTTTACTGTAAGTTTGATAGTCATGATCGGTGATGGATTTCTGTGGTTCTACATGTATAGAAATTGGATTGGCGTGTGCTCTGTTTTAACTTAATCGAAGTTTAATTTATAATTTCTTTTTGTTTGTATCCATGTGATTTTGCAGTGATTGCTCATGGAATCAATGCCGCAGATGTGAAGAAACTTCAAGATGTTGGGATCTACACTTGCAATGGCTTGATGATGCACATGAAGAAGGTACATTGATTTTCAATTTCGATTTTGTGAAGTTTTTAAGTTTGGCGTTTGCATTGAGGTTAAGGTAGCCAAAACACGTTTGATGATTTTGTAGATCAACTGATACTCAATTGGAAGAAAACTTGTATATATATATATATGTATTTGAAATGTTTAGTTGAATTAATACGTGCTGAAAATTTGATCATATTTTTTGCTATGTTAAATTAAATCTAAGATTTGGACTTTTGAATTGGTCATGCTAGCAAAAAACAACTACATTTATTTGTTATTTATTTTAGATTTTTGATCATTTGATCAAATTCTCCTAAAACCGAACTAATTGGTACATGTATATATTTAATTTTCACATTTTATAAATAAAAATAAAAAATTGGAAATAGATCATAAATGCCTTTTTGGTGGCCTTCATTCTCAATATTCTTTGCAATAAACTTAACTGAAATTTGTGTGTGTGTGTGTGTATGTACAGGAGGTGAAGTTAATTTTTAAGATTTGTGATATAATAATAATTTCGAGATGGCGCTTTTGGATCTCTTCATTGCCTCATCAATTCCAGTCCTAAAAGTGCTGTGGGTGACTGCACTTGGGTCAATTCTTGCATTAGATCATATCAACATTTTAGGGGAGGACACGAGGACGCATATGAATAATGTAAGTGATTATTTTTTGAATTTTAAGTGTTTTTCTTATTCGTTCGGTTTCAAATGATTTCTTTGGTGCTTTATATCACTTGTTATGTATGTCCCTACAAGGACCAACAATTTTGCATTGTGGAGCATCATTCATTGGTTGAAACTTTAAAGAAAGGCTTTTTCACTCAGATTCTGAATTGTCATACTCTAAAATATGTATCTCTGTTCTGTTTGACTAAGTTTTTTTTAAGTCTCATTGATGTTTTGCTTTTATTTTTGTTGAGCAATTAAAAATCCAAGATGAGAGCATTTTCCTGATGAACCATCGGCGCAAAAAAAAAAAAAAAAAAAAAAAAAAAGAATAGAAAAAAAGAAAAGAAAAGAAAAGTTATCTCCCTTGGGTTCATGCATACAAGCTTAATTGAACTGCATACCAATTTTTTTTTTTCAGATTTTTTGGATGTTATGATATATTCTCATTAACAAGATTCCCCGAGCACATATATGGGCTTGGCAACAAAAAATTTGTCACAGATAAAACCGTAACTAATCACCAATGATTTCTTAGATATTGTCCTGATCCAACTAATAAGTTGTTGGGAAGCCTGAATATTTATTTTTGTAAATGCCATGAAGGACAATAGGCACCCACCCAAATTTCATCTATCCATTGGCTTTAAAAGCTTTAGTAGCATCCATAGTTTATCTCTGTGATGGATATGATTTCTATCTTCCTGTGACTTCTAATTAATTTCTCATAGTTCTATATGGAAAAGTTGGTCAAATTCTACAAACTCGGGGACTTTGGTTCACTGGATTTTGTATTATTTTATTTGCTTTGTGCAGTTGGTTGCAAAGGGAGAGGAATTTGTCTATGAATAACTTTTGGTTCTAATTATTGTTCTTGGTAGAGTTCATGACGATGTGTTTACACTTATGCATGTTGCATGTCTATATTTTCAGTTCTAAATGCAGTCCGTGGCTTTTACTGGTGCTCCCTTGTTTGTTATTACTGCAATCTGGTTTGTGGGATTTGGCCTTTCTCTGCTCCTCCTCTGTCTCTGTTGTTGCTGCTGCCAACGTCAATACCATGGCTATTCTCGAACAGCTTATGCGCTTTCTCTCATTTTTCTGACGTTCACCATTGCTGCAATGTATCTCTCTCTCTCTCTCTCTCTCTCTCTCTCTCTCTCTCTCTGTGTGTGTCACACACACAATACCTACGAGTTTAAATTGAATATTTGGATTTGGATCGATTTATCTGAGAGTCCATTGTTGTTCTATGTTTTTGATTTCAGCATTGGATGCGTTGTTTTGTATACTGGACAAGGGAAGTTCCATACTAGCACATCGAATACATTGGACCATGTCGTGTGGCAAGCTAACACCATTGTTGAGAGTCTTGGGAGTGTATTGGATTATCTTGAAGCAGCTAAGCATATCAAAGTGGATCAAATTTTTTTACCTCCTGATGTTCAAAACAACATCAACAAGGTTGAAACTGACATTTATACTGCTGCTCCATGGTTGGTGTAACCAAATTGCTTTTATAGTTCCATGGTTGCATACCTTGCTCTTAGTTTATCATTCTCTTCTGAATTCTCATAGTAGGACTTTTGCATATGATCTAGTGATAGTTCTTGCAACACCTTTGTTTTACAGCATAGTTGTGAAGATTTTGCTCTTCCATTCTTCATATATTTTCTTGGTCCTCACAATCTTAATCATTCTAGTCAGCCAAACAGTACCATCATTATTTGCCCTCTCAACCTTACTTATTGGCTTTGAGCTGTGGGCCTTTCTTCTTGGAATGTTATATGACACGTTTTCAATCATAGCCATGCTTCTTGAATTTCTGACATGATTATTGCTTGCCAAACTGACATAAACACCTCTCCTCTCGTTTCAACACCTGTCAATCACGTTCTAGCAAACATTTCACAGTTGCATGTATGTCATCAAATATTTCTGCTGGAGTTTCTAAATAAATGCTTATGCTTTCTCTCATTGAAGTACTACTGAAACCCCTTGTTATTTGTGAGTTTACATCTGATTTAAAATGCACTTATCATCAAATGTTGCTTGTTTTTCCCAGGGGTCATCAATTGGACTAGTTAAGTCAATGCAGTCGGCTATCAGCAATCCGGCATCTGTTGATTCCGTGATAAGCTCTAAAACTGATCCAAATCTTTGCTTTGCAATGCATGCCCATTCCAGCATCTCATTTTCTGGTCTTAGCGTGGAGAGTAGTGCTGCAGATCATCAAGACTAGTGCTTCTCCAATGGTTCTCATGGGAGAGCCGCCTCCATTGTGTCCTGAAAGTTCATTCCCTTCAACTAGTAGGAGCAGCGTTGTTATGCGTTACATGGAAAAGAAGAAGACACGCAAGTAAGAGTAGAGCGGTTTTTTTTTTTTTTCGCTTGCCAAACTGCCATAAACACCTCTCATCTCCTTTCAACACCTGTCAATCACGTTCTAGCAAACATTTCACAGTTGCATGTATGTCATCAAATATTTCTGCTGAAGTTTCTAAATAAATGCTTATGCTTTCTCTCATTGAAGTACTACTGAAACCCCTTGTTATTTGTGAGTTTACATCTGATTTAAAATGCATTTATCATCAAATGTTGCTTGTTTTCCCCAGGGGTCATCAATTGGACTAGTTAAGTCAATGCAGCCGGCTATCAGCAATCCAGCATCTGCTGATTCCGTGATAAGCTCTAAAACTGATCCAAATCTTTGCTTTGCAACGCATGCCCATTCCAGCATCTCATTTTCTGGTCTTAGCGTATAGACTAGTGCTGCAGATCATCAAGACTGGTGCTTCTCCAATGGTTCTCATGGAAGAGTCGCCTCCATTGTGTCCTGAAAGTTCATTCCCTTCAACTAGTAGGAGCAGCGCTGTTATGCGCTACATGGAAAAGAAGAAGACACGCAAGTAAGAGTAGAGCGGTTTTTTTTTTTTTACACCATTTAGGTTAAAAAAAGAAAAGAATATTGTGTGGACCTAGGAAGCATGGATGTGTATTTAATTCACTTTCAATTCTTTTTGATTGTTTAGTTCTTTGGTTTAATGGAAATTATGTTTTGAGGTTTGTGATAATTTCGAGCAAAGTGTAGAAGAAGTGTTAATGCATGAATGTTGAGATTTTATTAAAGGAAGAAATGAAAAATAATGCATGAATGTTGAGATTTTTGCAAATATGTCTTTACGTTTATTGTATATAATATTTGAATATATATATCTCTCTCTATATATATATATACGATTGTAGGTTCTTTTTTTTTTTTTTTTTTTTTTTTTTTTTTTTTGGGGAAAAGATGGTCACTAATACATTGTAGGCATTTTTTAAACTCTTTTGCGACGACAAAATATTGGTCGCTATAAGTAGGTTAGGTGGTTGCAAATAGTTTGCGACTGTTATTTTGCGGTCGCAAAAAGTATTTGCCACCCCCACATTCGCGACCCTCATTTGCCGTCGCAAAAAGTCTTTTGCGACTGTTTTTTTATTATTTGCGACGGCTTGTAGCGGTCGTAAAAAGTACTTTTTTTAGTAGTGTAGCTTTTTTAATTGGTATGGCACCCCTGGATAATAAATGGTATTACCCACTCTTTTCTTGGTTATGACACTACTTAATAAGAAAACACCATTTAACTAGGAACAATAAGGTTAGGTAGCTTTCTCAATTTATCAAAAAATTTATCAACTCCATTGATAAGTTAATTAATTAGAATGCTATTTTTTTGGGGGGATAATTACATTTTACCCCATGTGGTTTTGCACATTTTCACATTACCTCACTGACGTTGATAAATGTACTCATAAATCGCATGTGGTTTTGACTAAAGTGCAAAAGTGACAAGACGTGACAGAATTATTGAAAAGACTAGAACACCCTTATTTTTTTCTTCAATTTTCTTATGAATGCCATTTTACTTCCATTTTTCTCGCAGTTGAACTCTCTTTATGAACTCTCTCCTTATGTGTGTGTGTATATATATAATATAGATATGAAATGCATCTAACCCACAAACTCATCTCTTCTAATATATGTATATGTATATATATCATATGGATATGAAATGCATCCAACCCACAAACCCATCTCCTCTCATATATGTATATATATATTATGGCAGTGGCTTTGGTCCAGTCCAAGATCGGACTGGACAGTGCTGTTGGGCCCGTGAGAGCTCACTACGGGTCCTGTTTTGATAATCCGAACCGTTCAATGTGTAGAACTCGTCGAGTACTATATGTCTGTAAAAAATCACGTTGATCGGATATCGATAGCTATGTGAACAAAATAGTTTTTTATCAACAGTTAATTTTTCACCGTCCATTTTTTTTATGCAAAACTGATTTGATCACATAACTATTGATATCCGATCAACGTGATTTTTTACAAGCATATAATGCTCGACGAGTTTTACACATTAACGGTTCATATTATCAAAACGGGCCCAAAAAATGAGCCTCCTAGACTGGACTGGACGGGTCCAGTCTTGATCTCAACTTGAGACAAGCTGGACCCACATATTATATGGATATGAAATACATCCAACCCACAAACCCATCTCCTCTATTTCTTATCTGGGTAACGCTCTCTCTCCCCCTCTCTCTCTCTCCATGTGTGTATATATATGAAATCTACTACAATCACTTCGTTTTTTGAGGGCTCATGATTATGATAGGAAACGTGGAAAAGAGAGAGATAAGGATAGAGACAAAGAAAGGGACAAGAACAGAGACCACCGCCATCGCCTGAGAGATGACAAGGAATACAACAGTCATGAGAGAGAGCGAGAAAGATAGAGAGAAGGTAGCGAACGGGATAGGCGAGACAGGGAGCGTGGTAGGCAGAGGAGCCATTCAAGGAGCCGAAGTGGGAGTAAGGATCGCAATGATCGTGATCGTAACGGAGGAAGGCATCTGAAGAGGCATACCAGCAGTAGTGCAAGCCGCAGAAGACATGGGAATGGGGCAGAGGATGGGAATGCTCGAGATGAACCAAAGAAAAA